GAGGGACCGGCTGGCCACGCCAAGCGTGATTGATTGGGACCGGCGCTGCAGGCCTCTGGAAAGAGTTATTTTTATCTTGCTCTGAGCAAAGTTTTTCTATCACCTTGTTGCAAACAGCTCCTCAGGAAAGCACTCTCCGGCCGGCAGCCGGGGCTCTTGCTTGGCGCTTGAGGGGTTGCCTGGCCTCGGTGAAATCTGCCGGTGATGTGCTGGGCCAGAGATGAAGCTGGTGCTGCACTGAGGCAGGCAGCAGGGCCGGGGGCGCCTGGCCAGCCCCCTGCTGGGAGACCCCCCCCAGCAGACCGGTGCCTGCGCTGTGTGAGCAGCAACGCCCCCAGGAGAAGGCAGCCGCTGGAGAAGGCTTAGCAAGAGCTGGTTAGGAATAAATCCCGACCGATCTGCATCTTCCCCTGGAGACGTTAGGGCTAGGTTAGCCAGAGTGTGCAGGGCTGCCTGGAGTGCTGCCAGCAGTGCTTGCGTGGAGAAAAATCCATCCCTGCAGACACCCCCCAACCCTGCGTATTCATCACTGTCAGGCACGCAGGACAGACCCTAAAATGCAGCGTGCAGTGTCTCTGCCATCCCCTGCTTCGCTTGGAGAAGCCAGAGGGGAGGGCAGAGGAGTGCGGAGCGAGGGCAGAGAGTGTTTGGGTGTGGGCAGTGCCCATTCCAGCTCGGGGCTGGACCAGTTCTGTCCAGTGGTTATGCTGGGGACCAGGAGACCAGGGGCCTTTTTTCTCCCTTCTTACTTCTTTTTAATGCTAAAAGTTGTCCCCGAATTGAAATCATTTCATCTCGATGCTGCTCAAGGACGCAGTCTCTCCTCTTTCCAGCTCAGTATTTGAACTTCACTGGTGGCTGGCGTTTGATTGATGTTGCCATCTCTTTCTACTCTACCTCTGTCAAATCAAAGCTGCCTTCACAGCGCTGCTGCTGCGGAGATTCGAGCAGAAAAGCGGCCGAGCAGCCGTCCCGAGGCAGAGGGATGGTGGGTGGCGGGCAGGAGTGGCAGGCAGCCTCAGATCAGCATGTTCATTTGGTCTTCAAAACATCCCGACACTTCTCAAACTGCAAAGCGGCTTTTTTGTGCCTGTTTGTCCCTGCGCTTCAGCAGCGGCACCACGGAGTGAGCGGTGAAGTATTTCGGGAGCAGGAGCTGCTCTTCTGTTACATGTTTCCCTGTCTCACATGAAAAGCACGTTTCAGCTGCTCCCTAATTGCTGCAGAGCCATGTGGCTTTGAAGTTTGTGCTGTGCATCCGGGCTCTGGTTTCCTCCGTGGTGCTGCTGTGGGACAGAGCTGCCGGCACCCAGCCAGTTTGCATCTGTTTGATCCTAACCTCCTTTTTGCCTCGCCTCTTCTGTTTTGTCTCCCCACCTCTGTGCCCTGCAGATTCAGAGGATGACGGAGAGTCAGAGGCAGCGAAACAACTGATTCAGCCCATAGCTGAAAAAATCATTGCCAAGTACAAAGCCAAAGAGGAGGAGGCACCATTGCTCTTCTTTGTGGCGGGCGAGGTAAGCGGGAGGAGAGCGCAGGGCTGCATCCTGCTGTGTCCTTGTACGAGGTCTGAGGTGGGCTGGGTACCGCTGTCGCCGCCTTCCAGGTGGGCAGCTGAGGCACGGAGCCAGCGCAGCTGGTCAGGGACCATGGAGCAAAACCAGCCCCGCGTCCTGGCTCAGTTCCCTGCACTCGTTGCTGGATATTCTGGCAAAGGGGCCCCAGCTGCGTTTGCTCCGAGGTGGAAAAGCCTGATGGCAAGTGAGGGAGATGCTGGGGACAGGCAGAGAGGGACAGGGGGAGGTGGGAGGGAGCCACCAGCTGCCCCTTCAAACGCTGAGGCTGCGGGCCCTGGGGAGAGGGCAGGGGCCATTCGGGGGGGCAGCAGGGGCTGTGTTCCCACTGCTGGCCCCAGCACGAGCATCCCAGCTCCGCTCTGCCCTGCGCTGGGGCTCGGCTGGGCACGTCACTGCGGCGCTTCCCTGTCCCGTGTTACCTGCGGGGGT